GCAGCGCTCAGCATACACTGTGGCGGTGGTTCTCGTGGTGGTGGAGGGAGAGAGGGGAATCTATTCCTAACCCGGTCTACTTTTAGGTGATCATGCGGCGAAATCTTTATTTTCGAATGACCTTTAAGGATTTGGTTGTGTACTTTTTGTTAAGAGTTTTCCCAATCTTCAAAAGACCTTAATGCGTGCACTTTTGGTGGCGTTGAGCGATAGAAGGCACTGGAAGCTTCCTCCAGGGCTAACCAAATGCTGTGCTCGCGTTTTCTCGTATTTCGCTTGCTGGAGTTATGCAACAAACTTTTCATACAAGTCTGATTTCCCTTTTTCTGCTCATTTGAAAGTCGACTGTACTAAGTGCGTCTGGTGCCATACAGGACCTGTCTTGCAAACATTATTACCGGAAGTAACGGCCAATTTTAAGAGGGAACTCGATTGCCGAACGAAAAATGATATTCACCTGACGTGTCGAATTCCCTCCGAAAGGTATCTTTAGAGACACTAGTAGATTTGGACGGTTGACGCACTGCATTATTTTGAAGATGCAGTCTTTATAGCACCATGAATGGATAGGAATTAATAGCCTATGCATTCATTGGAGAAGATCGGACTCTGTGCGATGATGAATCATAAACCGTCAAAATGTAATTCTCTGTTGTTGCTTACTGACGTGATTCTTACTCAATCGTTTGCTTCACTGACGATGACAGTGGTGATATTGCTCGTCGCTCGTTCCCCCCCTGGCTCATTATTCTGCTCAGGCAAGTTCTGAAGAGCGAGTATGGGGGGAGGAAGTCATTTAGTTTGTCTTAAATCGGGGCATCATGACTCTTGCAAGTCACGGTTTACACAGTTGTTTGTCCTCGCAAGTATTTCGGTCTTGTCGACCCTGGAGACCCTGTGCCATGGCTCCCATTGACCGCTACTTTGGAGCGGTTATCAACACACCCTTCTGTTGCATGTTCGGCTCTCCGAGTTAGGAGCAGCCCTGTGCCATTTCGTGCGTGGTTGCATTGCTCGCAACTGCGAGGGATCCTGTTATAGACCGACGAGAGAGAAATTACCTTTTTGGTAAACAAACAGTTTATTAACAGAGCGCTTAATATTGCTTCTGCTGATTGCTATGCAGGTGATTCCAAAGCGTCATCAGGCTAATCGAATTCTTTTTCCAGCGAGTACATGTCAATCTTCACGACCTGGTTGCTGGAACTCGCCTCCTTTCTTCTAGTGCCAGTGCACAGATTTACAAACTCGTGAAATCTCACACGAGTTTCGCAAGACGATCCCTGTTACGCAAATTCAGTCCACGCTGCAATAGTAGTCAGAGAAGTTGCTTATCGGCTAAAAGGTAGCTTATAATTACAACGTCATCGTAGATATCAGTGTTCTTCCCGAATGGGAGCCTGTAATTCATATAATTCGTAGCAGCTCAAAGAAGCCCTTCGTTAATATATGTCCCGCTTGATAATGGCCTTTTTCTAGTGAAGTCAGATTGCCGCATCCTTTTCCTAATTATATTCGTGAGGAACCCCGACAGATCCTTGCGCATAATCTTGGTGGGCATACAATGGTTCTTTTTATTTTATGACGAATGATCTCGTCTTCTTGCTTGCCATGGACCGATTTGGCCCTCCCTGCGTGTCGTTGGGCATGCTTCTACCATTAATAATACGCCACAGAGTAACCTTATTAATATTGAAAGTGCTTACTAGAGACTCACGCGGTGATCCGTCTCCTGCTAATTTCCGTTTATGACTTGAAAGCCCCAGCATAATATCTACTCGCTTCCCCTTCTATTCCATAACAAAATCATATAATCGCCGTATCTTTCCCTCATCAGACGTCTATAAATCGTTGTCTCTATGTGGGGAAGGGGGTGAAGGCTATTTAGAAAGTGAGGCTAACCGAATCTAGTCGGATATTGTCTTCCCACTCCCCTCACTCCCGCGTAGTGTTGCGCATAAACGTGTCCACTAACCTTTTGTTCTCTCTGTCCGCCCCCTGCAGGCTGCCGAATCCAGCTTCTCCGAGATCAAAGCCCTGGTTGAGCGGAGGCAAGCGGAGTTACTGCATTCCATTCGTCGTCTCACAGAGGAGAAACGCCGGGCTCTGATGGACCAGTTGGCACTCATTGAATCTGAGCGTGATCTGGTAAA